AAAATATTTTACTAAACTATGTCCTACACTAAAATACGTATTTCATGTGCATTAGTTTTTTAACAGTGGAAATAAGTAAATACACTTCCTTAATCATAAGTATAATTTAGCCTGATAAATTATGATGGTCTGTAGTCACGTGTTGGTAACTAATTTTCTGCAGTATTGAAGTTATTGTCATTACAGTTTTTCAATAGTTAGCCTCACCTAATTTTACAGAATAGTTGTATTTTCTAATTATTCGTTTATAGTTGATCCCCTGTTCTCTGATGTTCACTTTACCTTTTTTTTTTTTTCCCCTGATCTTTTAGGGTCCAAAATCGAAGAACAAGGTAGGTAGGCAGAAACATGCTCTAGTTCATTGCTGCATTTATTTTTTTAATCTGCTCAGGGTTAATTGAATTTGAAAAAGGAAGAGGCATCTCCAGGACTGAGGGAGCTGGGGGGGCTCAGCCTGGAGAAAAGGAGGCTCTGGAGGGACCTTCTCATTCTCTGCAATTCCCTGACAGGAGGTTGTAGCCAGGTGCTATGTTAAGTCATAAGAATGTTAAAAGAAACGGAGTAAAAAGTGACTACAAGTAATTGAAACAAGCAAATTTCCCTTTTCGCTGAAAGTAATCAAAGATTTATTTGTTTGTTTAAGTGAAAAAAAACCCCCTGATTCTTCCCTGAAAACTTAATGCGTAGAATTGTGGGGTTTACTGATTCTATTTCAGGATAATTTTGCAAAGAAATGCTTTGGTAACAAATGTGATAAGATGCCCTCAAACTCTGGTGGTTATATGTGTGTTGTTGGTACTAAATTGTTACCACTGTTTTTGTTCCAGCTTCATGATAACCTCTGTATTCAAAGTCACCCTTATCTCTATATTTACTGCCACGCAAAGTAGTGTAAAGTGAAGAGCTTTCCACGTAGTTATTTATATCTGAAATCAGAATCAAAGTATGAAATAACAGTATATGTAACACACTTTGTGTGTGAAAAAGGATCAGGATGTATTTTCTTGGTGTATTTTTTTTCATCAATACCTTGCTTTTCAACCTGGGTTTAGGCTGCTGTCACTCTTAGGCTCCAGCATGCAGAGGAAACAATGCAGAATATCATGGTTTGTTTCCTCATGTGTACAAAAAAATAGCCTTATTTGCCCCACTCATAAACAATAATGTTGGCTGGGAATTAATTTTGCAGTTTAGATCCAATTATCACGTTTTTATGTGTATCATCCACGAGAATGCTATGAATTACAGGACAAAAACCAGTGTTCTATTTTGGTTCATCTGTTACATGACGGTAGATTTTGCATGTTACTTATCTTGTCTTTTATTTTTATAAACTATATACCCAGACCTCAAAGAATTGATGCACTGATTTCTGAGAAATCCAGATTTAAAATACAGTTTTTCTAGGATTAGGCCAGAAGTTGAATAGTGGATTGTCTGGAGTTACAGAAAAGAGAACCCTTGCTACTTGTCTTTTGAATTAGATGCTTCTAATTTGGGCCAGACTTGCCCCAAAATACATTTCCCAGTATATCCTAAAATATTTGAAGTTATAACATCTGCTTTCTTAGCTAATCTACCTGTTATTCAATTTCTACATTAAAAACAACATTCTCCTGTTTGTGGCCATATTTGGGAATGTCTAGCATAGAATAATATATTAATTGTAAGAGCATATATTGCATCGGGAAAATGAGAACAAAATTGAGTCCAGAATGTTTATTGCCATTCTGGGGGTTTCATTCACTGTGAAGGGAGCCTAAAATATTAATTCAGGGATCACATTTGAAGGGCAAATTTATAGAGTTGTACACCTCTCAGAATATATTAAAATAACACTGACATTTGTTTTCTTCTAATTTACTGCAAACGTTAAGCCTGGTGGCAAAAAAGCTGAAAAGAAAGAAGAGGAAGTGAAGCTGAATGAGGGAGGTACTGTGCACTTCATTTATAGGGAATGTGATGGGCAAATCATTTGTTTTAAAGAAATGTAAAGAAAGTAATTTCTTGAGCTACATGTGAATTGATATTTGTGTTTCACAAACATGGGTAGGTCCTCTCTGTTTTCTGGTGTGAGCCAAATTCTGTATTGGTTTGATGCCACATCTCAGTGTCCTGTCAGAGCAATACTCCCTCCTCTAGTTATTTCTCCTGCAGTCAGGAACTTGGGAAGAATTAACTTGCCATTAATCCATCCTGGTGGGGGCTTGGGCACGCTGTGACTGCTACTGAGTGACTACTAATCACTAGTAGCCTTTTGTGGGTGGGAGTAGCAGCTCAGGCAGGTTTGGGAACTGCTGTTGCTCTCGCCTCAGTGCAACACAGATACCCTTGCCATGATTTCCAGGTAGGTGGGGATGTTCAAGGCTCTGTTTGGGAACCTGTGGACTGATGTTCCAGTTTAGGCTGAAGGCTTAGAGGTTGAAATCAATTTTAGTTTTCACATCCTCTCTAACTTTCCAGTCCTAATGGCAGCAAAGAGAAGCTTTGCTGGGATGGGGAATAGCTGATCATGAGGAGGATTTCAATGAACAAACAGCCAGAAGGTTGAAGTTGTAGGAAAGCAGTGGTTGAAGGAAAGGAGAAGAGTAACTTGGAACTAAACCACTCAGTTTCACCACAGACTTTGGATCAAGAACCTGTGTCC